ACTCTTTCATTCAAAAAACTGAGCAGGGCTCACTGTTTTGAAAGGTGGCAGGTGGAAGTGGGCTGTGTTTTTACCCAATAAATATTTCATATTAGAAAAGAAGGGAGCCAGTTCCAGAGCAGAATCAAGCTGTTTCTTTAGCTCTGCTCTGCCTCACTGGGAGCAGAGCTACAAATGTGTGTGTCCGCCGTGCAGCTTGGTCACCACCCCAGGTAAGGCTCTCCCAGTGCCTCCTCTTGGAGCTGTTGCCCTTCCTGTAAATATTTGGGACAGCTGAGGGAGAGGGTGAAGAGGGTGCATGTATGCATCAGTACGGGTCTCAGGTGGATCTCAACCACCTAGAAAGCAGTAGGTGGTGCTTGTGGTTTGTTCGTTGGTCTCTGTGTTGAGCTGTGTTTTGTCCCACAAGTCCTGTGAGGGCTTCAGGGTGTGACTGAAGGCTCCAAGCACAAAGATGTCGGGATATAGATGGTTTTTGTATGCGTGCCAGTGACAGACCTGCCACCTGGACGGGTTTTGGTAGACTCGCTAAGACTTGCACACTCAACTGCCACCTCAGTTTCTCTGGGATTTAGGACCACGTATTTGCACAGCTGGAGGGTGGGTAAGCTTCCCGTGTAAGTGGCCACAAGGCCACGTTCCTGCCAGTGTCCCCAGAGGTGGCTTTTCCTGGCAATGCTTCCCTCTTCCTGCATCGTGGGGCAAGACAAACCCCAAGAAGTGGCCTGCTGGCCTACAGTCAAGTGTTCAAAACTCGTCAATCCTAGTGCATCAGACGGCTTATTGACACGTAGGTGGTTATAAATGTGCCTGTTTCCCACCCACCCCCGAAGTGAAGACCCTGCTAATGTCCCTGTCCCGGGGACGGTGGTGCAGCAGGTCCCCATGGGTGTTGGATGTGTAGGGTATGGCCATCTAGGTGGAGCACCTGCAGAGGCATGTGCAAGCCTCTGCCACAGAGGGAAGGGACCCAAACATCCAGCACTGCAGGTGAGTGTGCTCCAGGCTCCGTAACTATCCCAGCCCCGTTTGGGACTCTGCACCCCTTATGCAGGCTGTTCCCAGCGGTCCCCTCCTCCTCCCGTATGTCCAGGGAGTGTCTCGTGGCTCTTGGGCACTGGAAGGTGGCTTGGTTTAATGGTTCATTATGTCAGTCAGGTTCATCCAGGGATGTTTTTCCAACATTTGCCTTTTATTTGTGGGTGGTGAACATTTGTCCTCCTTCCCTGGAGTGGCAACAGGTTGCTGTGCTCGGGGGTGAAGGGCAGCAGCTCGTCTGCTTCTCTCTCCCAGGACTGAACCCCCGGCTAGCAGGAGTCATTTCAGTTTGAACTGGCTGATGGGAGGGAGTAACTCCTAAACCTCTGAGAAAACTCCCACCCTAACATGCTTTCCAACCGTGTGTTTTCCGTTTTGGCCGGGGACATGCCCCTGCCATACGTTTGTAAGTGCCCTGCAGGCTGCTGCACCTGTATTTTGGCTGAAGTGAGGGAAGGCAGGAGCCGGGCAAGGCTGGTTCCCATGTAACAACAGGGGCTGTACCAGAGCAGACCATCAGTCAGACGTCCAGAGACGGATCGTCGGGCACAGCGAGCAGGGAAAAGTGGACACAACTGTGGAGGTGGCAGCAGAAATGTCCTTGTACCTGGGGAATGTGCAGTCTGGTCCCACCCTGGCCTTTGGGAGCAAATCAGGAAACCATCTTCTTAATTAATAAACTGTAAGAACACCCATGAGAAAAGAAAACGCCTTTATTCCGAGAGGTGGGGGCTCTTACATCTCAGCTTGTAATTATTTTTTTCTAAGGCAGACATAAAAAGACTCCATCGTTTATTCTTAGGACATCTGAATAGTTATTTATTGAGAAGCCACAGTTCTCACACTTTTACAACTGTCGGCTTGTATAAGGCAAAAAAAGCAAGATGGATCACTATTTTACACAGAAAGTAAAAGCTCTGGAGGGGGGACTGATGGACATGCAGTTACTGGTCCAAATGCAATGTACATGACATATATAAAAACCATAGTGAAACAGAGGAATTGTAAATTATGGTTACAATCTACGGAAATAAATAGTCAATATATTATTATAAACACATTTGTATAGTCTAGGATCGTAATTAAAGTCGCCTTTGTACATACACGGTTATTTGAAGTTTAAACAAAACGGTAACATTTAGAGGAGCAAACGTCAACATAAAACAACTGCTCTGGACGTGTAATGTGGCATGATATATCCATAATGATAGGATTAATCTGGTGTGGCAATTAGAGTGACTAATCCTTTGGGATGTAGCCTCTATGGAGTTAACTGCACACTGAAGGGAAGAGCCTGGTACAGGAACAAGGATGCAGAGTGATTCAAACGGCTGTCTGGGTTTGTTTGTTTTCTGGATTTTAAATGAACAGAGAGAACAAATAAAAAAAAAATCATTTGTAATTGCCTTGTTCTTCTTTTAAAAACAAAGCTGTTTTTTTTATTAATTTGAAGCAGTTGGCATCCACGGAAGAGAAACAAAGAAATGAAAGGACTCGATTCACTCATCTTCACAACAATTTACCATCAATGTATATACAGTACATTAATGAAGCATTGTTTAATTATAACAGGGACACACCTAGCATGTTTTCTATGTAGATTCGTTTCCATTAACAGTATTAAACAACGGTGCTCCATATTGCTTATGAACATAGAGAGATGAAATGAAGAAACCGATGAATCCGAGAGGTGCTAACCTTATTACCACACAGCTAACATGGCATTTGTATCGGTAAACTTCTCATGGGCGTTTAGAGCTGACATAAAAATTCCTAATGTGGCTATAACTGAGTTACAGACGAGGTACATGCACGGATACCAGGCGACCCCCCGGCCGGTTCTCCAGGCCCGCTTCCCTAGTCGTCCTCTTCGTCCTCCTCATCGCTGTCCTTCATGGTGATCCCCTGCAGCCCGCCACCTTCGCTGACCGACGCCGTCGCCTCCTCTACCGTCAGCCGGTTCCGGATGGTCTCGTAGGTTTTGCTGTTCAGGGTGGAGTCCAGCACACCTTGCAATCGGAAATCCCGGTACGTTTTCTAAAGCGGGGAGAGGCACGGGGGGAGGAGGAGTCGGCGCTGAGCTCAGGCAGCACCGGTCCCCCCCACCCCGGCTTCGCTCCAAGAGCCAACCTGTGCCCCCATGCCCGGGGTCTGAGGCCACTGATGGAAGAGGCTGGGACCCAGGGAAATCCCAGCCCTGGGGGCATTTGGATTCGCCCCGGGGACAGCTAAACACACCTCCAACACTAAGGGCTCTGCTCCAACTAACTTCCCTCACTTCTGGAGCCGTTCACCTGCCTGCAAGGCCAGGTATTCCGCTGCACACAGCAGGACCCTTACTGCCCGTAACCACGGACGTGATCACACACTCCCAGAATGCTCCGTGCTAAATAATCCTGCCTACAGTACCGGGATTAAATACGCTCAGGCCAGGATAGCGGGGAAAACTGTTGATGTATAAACAGAGGCACACAGCACGTGTTTCTTAAATCTCCCTTTCTTCACCTAATGCTGAAACTGGGGTTGTACTTCCATAGGCAGCTCTGTTTCCCTTGTTATTTAGCTTAATATCTCTCATTTGAATTTATCTGTACAAACGTCTCGACTCCGGGAGATAACACTCTGGCCTCGTAGTTCATTTAATCCCGCTCCGTGCGGAAACTATTTACTGCTCTGCTGTTTCCAAGTCCTTGGGTTTGTTGCAGCTACTTCTGCATGTAATACTGGTGTAAATAAAGCACGAGGAGGAAAGCTCTCCTCAGCTAGCTGACGAGTAGAAATAATTTGTCTGTGCCTGTTGTTTTCAGTTACGAAAAGCACATTTAATACATTTCAGTTTTAATTTATTCATGCCTTCAATGTGTTCACTGCACACCAGACCATAAACATTATAAAATACTGCACTAGATAGAACCTAAAATGATCAAAAATATATTTACCCCCTTCTGTGATCTTATTATTTCATGTAAACCACTGCGATTTCACACTGAAATAATTATCATTAGTCCAAGGCACGCACACACACACATATACACATCCACGTGCACTCAGGGAAAAAAAATGGTACTTTCAGGGTATGTTATCTCACCTTTGTGATCTCTTAGAGTTGATTATATACACCCATTGTAAAAGAAACAACTTCAATTAACTACGAGAACAATCCTCATTTGCATTCTGACGATAATCACAAGCCATAGCTGGGCTGAAATGTTTCTAGTGAAACAGTGTTAAAAACTTTTGGTTTGATTTAACCCGTTTTAACACCGGAGTTCATGGGTGTGATCAAGGTTTGTCCGCAAAAAGGCTGATTTTGGTGCACTGATTGTAGAGGTAGGGCCGAACGGCGATAGAGTTTCCCCTTTTTTCACGCCAGCAGTTACTTTGCTCTTATTTGCACACCTGTATTGTGCATCCAGGTTCCTGTTTATCCTCTGCTGCACACCATACGCGCAGAGATGCCCATTTTTAAGAACTGTAGTCAATGCCTTAACCTACGTGCCAGCGATGGTTTGCCTAAAACACACCGTGCACACGCACACACGCGCGCGTGCGCTCCTGCCCCCGGCGAGACGGCAGCGGGAGCACACCAGCCCGTTTACCTTTACTATCCTAATGAGGGTTTTCAGCTGATAAATGTGAAGCTGCAGGTCCATGCGGTCTGTCAGCCAGGTGCAGACGATGTTCATCGAGCTGGTGTACCATTGCTGCAAGAGAGACAGGACTTCTCCAGCGACCACGTTAGGGCTGCGTGCCGTGCCCCCCGTGACACAGGCAGCACCCGGCGCGCCGCCGGCACCCACCCTTCCCACCAGGCAGCCTGTTGTTGGGACACGACGGACTCGGAGGGGGAGGCAAGCACCCTCGTTGGCACGGGACTTCCAAGCACAAGCTTTTAAATTGTACTAACAACAACCACAAACTTCTCAGGAGGGGTGACGGCCACCAGCAACTCCGCAAGGCTTTCGGAATCTGATTTTGCCACAGGATTTGCCAGCGGTGATGTGCGTGCGGCCCAATCCAGTTTTCAACCCGCCCCCCCCACCGGTGAGAGCACAGCCCTGCCTTTCAGCCTGTCAGACCCACACTCCGGCTACTTACCGTCTCCGGATTCAACCACAACCAGCCGCGGGGCGAGCCTGTTCCCCGACGGCGAGCGGAGGGGAGGCTCGTGCGG